GAGGTGTTTTACCACCTCTTGCTGACATGTATAATGATGATGATGCTGATGTCTCAGCAAAAGTATGCAGTCCATTGCATACATTCCGCTTCGGCGCAACACTTCCGTGTCCTCAACTCTGTCGCCCCATCCGATGCGCAGAATCTTTCGTAAGCACTGTTGATGGAACCGCTCGAGATATCGCTCATCCCGTGTTTACATCGCGCACGTTCCACTTCCGTATAGAAGAACGGTCAGCACCATGTATTTGTACACCATCAGCTTCGTGTCAACGGTAAGCTAATGGTTGTTCCACACTCGGTACTCTATCTTTCCGAATGCCGCCGCTGCCTTCGAGACGCGACACGCAGCTCACTGTGTAGCTGCTGGTCAGTCGACATCACACTCCCAGGATAGCAGAAGCGGGAGTTGGTTTCCAATACGTCATCACCAATACTGACAAGCGGGACTATTGTAGATTGCACCTCCGGTGAAGGCTGAAAGAGAGACAGTTTTGTGTGTGTTGATAGTGATCCAGAATTTGGCTGCTGTCGAAGCCAGAGCACTAGTCATGTGCTGCAACTCATCCGCGCTGTGTGCAAACCACGCACAGTCGTCAGCTAACAACAATATAAAGATAGTGGTTTCACAGACTATAGTTCTCGCACCGAAACGACGGATGTTCAGCAACACACCATCAATTCTGTGCTCTCACGAACACCGTAATCACAAGCAGCATCGACAGCGCATGACATCATTGCATGATGATAGATATTAAACAGGGTGGGTGCTAAGACACAGCCTCGCTTCACACCAGTAACAACTGCAAAATCATCCGACGTCTCCCCACTCAGCTGCACTCTTGCCCGCATACCACTGTGCAGACATTCAATTAGACTTCTAAACTTACGCGGACTACCAAACGTACCCAACATCAGTTACAACGCCTCGCGGTTCACCGGATCAAATGCCTTGGTGAAATGGACAAAAAGCGAGTACAATGGCTTGTGTCGTTCTCTGCACTTCTGCAACTGACGAGCCGTAAGCAGCATATATGTAATGCTGCGATCTGAACGGAATCCACACTGCTCTTCCGCCACGTTGGGTTCCAAAACCTGACTGACAAGGCGGTTGAGCAAGATTCGGGCAATCACCTTGCCCACACAACTCAGCAAGTTGATGCCACAATAATTCGTGCAACATTGCTTGCTCCCTTTGACCTTGTACAGTGGTAGCACAATGGCATCCTTCAGCTCAGGAGGCACCTCCTCTTCAATCCATGCACGTTGCACTAAGTGGTGCAGCGCAGGTCCGCCGTGTTTCAATATTTTATGCGGGATCCCATCGGCACAGGCACACTTGCAATTTCGCAGCTGAGCAAGTGCTCTCTGCGTCTCATCCAGTGTGGGCGTGTACGCTTAACACACCTTCACATCGTGCTGATTTTGGCCATTCAAAGTAAGCCAGTCAGTCTCTGAATGTCTGTTTAATAGATAGTTAAAGTGTTTTTGCCATATCTGCATTATGTCTGCAATCTGTGTGCAGGCAGCACCTGGACTACCATCGATCAGCGTCCTTAGCGGCTCTGATCTCGGTACATACACCGCCTTCAAGTAGTCAAAGAATTCTTTGCGTTGGCCGCGTTCGGCGTATTATTCCATCTGCCTTACCTTATCCATCCACCGTGCATTTTTTGCGACGGAGCTCTCGGGTCAGTCGCCGTCGAATTATGCGAAACTGACTCTTCTTCCCAAGTCACTGGGGTCTGCGACATGTGCAGCAAATGTCACATTCTTCTTCGACACCAATGCGCCAATCGTCGCATTGTTCTCATCAAGCCAATCAGGCCACTTACAGTTTGCGCGCCCGATGGTCTCCTCGGCAGCAGCTGTCACCTGGTCGCGAATGTGGTGCCATAGGTCGCCCACTGTGGCTATGCCTTCCACATTACACAGGCGTGCATCCACCACCTACTCCAGCTCAATACGTTTCGCAGCAGTACCGAAGGAGGGAATGTTAAATTTAAGCCGATTCACTGCGGGAGTGCAAAACATAGATTTACGAAAATATATGTACAGTTTGGTCCGCACCAATTTGTGATCAGTGCCACACTAAGTTCCACGCAGTACACGCGTCATGCGCACTTCACGCATATGATTGGCGGCATCCGGTTTCGGATTTGCCTGTCACTGTGGCCAGCCATAGGACGTCTGCGCCTACATAGGGACCGTGGGTGACTGGCGCTGCATCACCCACAACTCCTTCCACACACCCCATATCCAGTGTAGACCCGAAGGAATAAGATCGGGAGGCATGCGGAGCCACGTTTCATCAACGGAGCCTGCCCACACTCCTTCACAGGCAAACACAAGCACGCTGTATTTGGGGAATCAAGCGCACACAAAGCGATGGCTTTACCGTAGTGCGCTCCACACTGAGTGCATGGAACTACTCTTTGATCCTAACATGGCCACAACGGCCGTGCACCCTTTCCGCTCCAACAGCGACCAATTGTCTTCTGGAGTCTGTATGGATGAGGTAGTGGGTAATAGACAGGTAACCACCTTGTCAACATGCACATCAAGCGCAGCCACACCGGGGATATCAAACAACAGCCAATCACTTGAGCGAACGATAACAACGGCCATTGTACATCTAAAGCATAGGTACTTCGGTCTATTGGAAAGTGACGGGTGAGTGAGCCAATCTGCAACACCATGACACGTACTGTGAGCTTATTGGCAATACGTCGCGCACCAAGCAGAAGTCATGTATTAAAATTTGCGCACCTAATCGTCAGCCCTCGGTAGAGCAGCGGACCGGAAATTCGTGGACCGGGGTTCGACTTTCCGTCGAGACACATTATTGCGCGTGAATTTTAATCGTGACTTCTATATTCTACATACTTTCTACAAATATATATATATATATATTGGAAAATCCCATATCATGATCAGTGAACGTATGTTTTCGCTTATTCCTCATCAGGCTCCTACAGTTATATGCAAATAAAAACAAATTTGGTAGACAGACATTACTAGTCGTTAGTCCGGGAGCGATTTAAATGCTGACATTGGCTGTCCGTTAGATTACGACAATTGACTTCGCGAGTCCAAGGTCGTCAGGCGTTTGGGCCAGGGTAGACCCAACCCTCTAGTTAGCTTCTTCTGCATACACAGCTCCGGGTCATACAGCCGAATCGCAATTGCCTCAGAAGTTTCTGGTATTCTTTTGCACACGTAGTTCTATCGGTACGTCGGGGACTGATAGAAAATTTTACAAGAGTCAGCTGATTATTTGCATGCCCTGTGTCAGCGAGATGCGCGGCCATTGAGGAGCTGACTGGTCTTCTGCGTTCAGTTCCAAGCCAGGCCGGGTGATGATCTTTCACTAGCTCGGATAAACGCCTTGTCTTACGATCAACGTATTCTGCTCCACAGGAGCAGGAAAAGAATAAAACACATTGAATTGGTGTGGACAGGCCTCCTATCCTTTTAGTTCACTTTCACCATCGGAGTGCTAGTGAACTAGATTTGCATTCTTGCTGCGGGGTAGGTACGTTTGAGTGCACGCGAAAGAGGACGGAATAAAAGTTCCGTCGTAACCGTCTTTGTATGACAGCTGTAGGAAGATCGGCTTACGTTCTACTGTCAATACTACGGGCTGTGTGCGCTTCTGTTGCATGTTGGCTCTAATGAAACTTTCTGGGTAGCCATTCTCCCTCAGCACCAAGCGAATGCACTCCAATTCCTCGGGAAACGTCTTCAGAGCAAATTTTATTTAGCTCGGCTCACTAGAGTATGCACCAGGTTCCATTTATACCTTAAAGGCACAAAGCCTTAGAAATTTGTGTCCTGTCCAGTCTACGTGCATTTCCTACACCCGTGACGTTGCAGCGTACCTCCATCAAGTTGTCTCAGAGCGACGTCTAGGAAATGAAAGAGGTGGTTTTCCTCCACTTCGTAGGTAAACTTTATTGCTGGGTGGCACTGGCTGAAGGTGTTTGTCAGCTCATCAGTACTTTGCGAGGCTTGCTGTAAAACAGAGATATCATCCACATACCGGCAATATAGACTGAGGTCTGCAATTGTTGATTTTAACTGGCCCTGTTCCAGCATGCCCATGAAAACATCGGCAAGGTAGGTCCAAGTGGGGAACCCATCGCGACGCCATCGTTCTGCCGGTATGTTTCGCCATTTTAGAGAAACTGAACATTAAGTGTGCATCTGCGTAACAATTCCTTTAAGATCACGGTGCGCATGCCCACATTTGTGTGATTTGCATCAACATACACAAATGTAATTTATGGTCTCAAGCAGTGGCACGTCGGTGAACAATGAAGTTACATACAGCGAACACATGGTTAGATTGGTGCAGTTTACGTCCCGTATAGTATCGACGAATTCAAAGCTAACTCTCACACTGTGCACAGCAATCCGCTTTCGAATAGGTGCAATAATCGTAACCAGTCCCCGAGCGATCGAATGGTACTTTGAATATATATATATATATATATATATATATATATATATATATATATATATATATATATATATATATATATATATATATATATATATATATATATATATATATTCGCCGCGCATTACTATCACAACTACTTGATAACAGAAAATGCTCTTACCCACAAACTTTTCTGTGTTTTAAATTGATTATTTTTAACCAAAATATTGCATTGAGCTACTTTTTTGAACCGCCTTTCATCTGCCTGACTACATAACTCACGTAAGTGTCTCAGCTGTACATTTCCATTATTAAACTTCATTGGATTGCTCCTTAGTCCTGTTGACTTGTGTCCCCTGGTTATTGAATTCTGTAGCTCCACACCAACTTCCGTGTCTGTTGTTGCGGTCATTTTAATGATACTACTTACCTCTACGTCGCTTTATTTATCTGAAGTGTAGGCAACCCAGATAGTTTCCTCTTTAACTGCTCACTTATTTTTTCTATGCACTTTTCCCATCATTGATCTACATGCGCCTCGTTCTTTGCGTTTCCAGCGCTCGCCTTGGGGCCCAAGAAGATGCAGCCGAATTGGAAAGAGATATGCTCCGGAAGAAACAAAAGAAACTGTCTTCTCGCTGAATTTACTCGTATTATCCGGGTGCTTGTTCCGCTTGCTTGTTGCTGTTTCTATTTTGCAAAGATCTACCCACGTCTTTCTCTTTTGCCATATTTTATTCACACCATCGGATCAAAAAATTCCATTTTCTCCGTCGGTATTTCTTACATTTACTTTACTTGCCGGGGCGACCAGCTTATCGATTAGCATGCGTTATTGGCACTTCTTTGGAATGAAGGCTATGACATTCATCTCTGCTTACGTTCCAGTTATTGTTTCAATCTATTTATCACGAAGCTTGAATGTAGCAGTGAAGTGACTTGCATAAATCTTGGTCTACTGAGCGACACTGGCTGGCACTTTCTAAAGGCCTTCATGACCACACAAACCAGATTGACCTATGGTTACAGGTCATACAATCGCAACACAATCCTCACGACAATTGAGTAGTGTCGATAATCTTCTTCCCTTAGAGCTCAATTACGGAATACAACCGTTTGCGATTTCCCAATAGAGCGCAGACCCTGGGGCGCACAAGTACTTCTGGTTCTTTTAATAGCAAAAGAGCCGTTGCTCATTAAGTTCAGCTCGTTTTAAACCAAACAGCCCCTCGCCACTGAGATACAGCTCTACCGAAACTCAGCTGCAGTTGGTTGTGGTCGAAAACTCACCATTTGCTAAGGTCGGTAAACGCCTTTGCTGTTTCTTGTCATCCACGACTGCAAACGACCGATCTCACGTCAGTCCCCAGGAATCACTCCCCGGTTGGGTGTCTTGCTTGGACTGTTATCTAAAACGCTCTGGGTAGAATTCGCTGATTCTGCTTTGGCTCACTCCACAGCATAAAGTCAGACTAGTTTAAACGAACCAGACAAGGGTTCTGAAGTAGTGATGAACAAGGCCTATTACACTCGTATCATACTCCACGACACGAGCAAATTTGAAGGGCTTAAGCAAGTGGGATGCAGCCGACGTTGAAACCCGCATAGCTGCCCACCTTGAAACGCTTCTCCTTCATCGTTTGATTACTAGCCAAGTGGCGGCACTACTCCGAAGCTGTATGAGTCGCCGAAAACACAAGGACAGAGTGCCACTTAGGCCAATTCTACCAATACTAAATGCGCCCTAGCATAAACTGGCTCGCTTGCTAGTGAGGACTTCGCAGCTGCGACAACTGTCTAATCCCTATGGTGTTATGGATTTCTTTCAACTTTTCGGTGACTGAGATAACATCAACCTGTCCAATGAGGTCATGTGTTCTTTAGATGTGGAATCTCTGTTCACCAATGTCCCGCCGCACCAAGCGGTTGATTACATTTGCGAACTGACTGAGAAATATGATTACTCGTTAACAATACCAGTCGAACTTTTAAAGAAATCCCTTTGATGTACCGAAAATGTTTGCTTCCACTTACGGCACACGCCATACTGTCAAATCGATGGGGTGGCATTGGATAGCCCACTAGATCCTGTGCTCGCCGATTTCTTCATGCTGATGATAGAAAGAAGCATATCTACAGGAATAGCCAAATCGCCATACTATAGGAGTTAAGTAGATGACATTGGTCATTTGTTCTTCGGAGCAGCAGATTGTGCAGGTGCAGCTTAACATTCCGCATGCCAACTTGCGGACCTCATGCGAAATGGAACAGAAGAATTGTCTGTCATTACTGGACATCCTTATCAGTTACAGGCACGGCGGACTCATTAAGAGGTCTGTCTACAGTAAAACAACGTGGTCCAGCCAATATCTGCACTTCACCAGCTTTACACCGGTGCGGTACACGTGGACCATTGTGAGAACTTTAGTTATTCTTGCCAGACGAATTTGTTCGGCTAATTGTCTGGTCGATGAGCTGGAGTTCATTACAACGCTCATGGCGAATGGTTATCTTCGCAGATTTATGGAGGAACACAGCCGACAGCGAGGTCCGAATGATTTGATGCGTACCGCACCCAAGAAAAAAATCCATACCGAGTTACCTTCCAAAGGTTGCTTTACTGTGCTGAAAACCACTAAGCATTTGATCGTTGTTGCACGGAGTAGTTCCAGTTCTGTTCAAGTCGTAACTTAACGAAGGGAGCTCAACTACTCGGGGCCAATTCACATTGCATCTACAAATTCGTGTGAAACGGTGGAGCCATTTACATAGGCAGAAATGATAGCCCTTTGATTTCCCAAATAAAGAAACACGTGCCAAGGTGAGTCCAACGTGAAATTAACCAACATACTTGCGCCCTGAAGTTTTATGCTAGCGCAGATCGCTAGCTTCCTCAATAGGTTAACACCTAATGGTCACGCGTCATCGGATAGAGCTTGGACCAGCGTTCACATTTGTGTTACGTCATCCCAATCCCCGCTTCCTCCGTTTCGCCGATGTCGTAGCGATAAGCCGGATGAAACCTGCCCTGTGTTCAAACGCAGTTATTTGTCAGCTTAAGACTGCCATGAGCTGGAACTTCCGTCATGCGTTTTGCACCCCATGCTTATTTGGTCACACCCATAGTTAAGTATATATTTGCATACCGGTTATTGTCAATGGTACTGATGAGATAATACGAAATGCATGCATCTACCATCTTTCGTCCTAACGCGCTTCTCAAATTTCCAAAGGGTGCTAACTGCTTAGTAAGACGCTTATTCACGTAAACGGCAGGAGCAACTGTACGCCAAAAAGTGAGTGCAAGATATTCGAAGTCACATGGACACTGAATCTACTCGCCAATCAATGGTTATGGCAGGCGGTCAACAGCTGTAATATAGCTACGCACGCAGTGAATGCTTGGCATAGCGTATCACTCCTGTGTTTTGAGCTATCCAGGCTGGAATCGATTCAGTGGTCGGCGTTAGCGCGCAGAGCGACGTAAAGGCATTTGGTGCGGGGATGCCTGATCGGATACTCGTGAATCGGTCGTCCGCACTTCCGACTCGCCGGTCGTTTCTGATGTCGACGGTCTCGCACACACGTTGTCTAAGTGGTGTCTGACAATTCTGGCATCCTCAGTTTCTGCTTCAATGATTTGCCCGTTGGTTGTTTTAACAGTGACCGGTGGCCTCCCGGAATCTATAGGTAGTCGGACATAGATGGGATCAGATACCTCTACTAGTCTGTATCTGCTGCCGATGTCAGAGCGTTTTTTTACACGTTCCTGTTTTTCGCAAACCTCCGAACCAAGGGTACCGTGCAGTAAATCCAACCGTGTTCGCAACCGACGGCCACCGGGCTTCTGCTGATGGTTTCGTTTGCCTTCGGTAGGCGAAAAGGGCACGGTCTAAACGCACGCGCTGTGGGTCTGCTGATTGCTTCAGTAACATATTATTCACTGTCTGCACAGCTCTCTCAGCCAAACCGTTTGGTGGATGACAAGGCGCCGCAGTTACGTGTCTAATGCCATTCGTGGTAAGAAGGGCACCAAATTCGGTGCTAATGAATGCTGCTCCATTGTCTGACACTAGCGTTTCCGAAGGATCGAAAGTTGTAGACGTCGTACGCAATTTAACTATTGTGTTAGCGGAATTTGCTGCTGTCACAACATGAGCATTAATCCACTTGGAATGGGTATCAATGATCAACAAGATCACCTGACCTTCGAAAGGACCGAAAAAGTCTACGTGAACACGTTCCGATGATGCTTCTAGGCACTTCCATGGTTGTATTGGCACACGACAATATCTCGATTCTCCTGACAAGGCACGCAGTCCACTACTTTTGATGGAATGTCCCTGTCTAAATCAGGCCACCATACATAAAGCAAGCTAGCGACTTTATTTTAGCGACTCCAGGGTGTGCAACATGCACTTCATCCAGGATAACATCGCAGCTTTTTGGGGACTACAACCAGGGCTCCTCACCGTACACATTCGTTACGGAGACTGAGTTCTGTCTATCTGTTGCGAAAAGACGTGAGTTCTTTGGTCGTATTTTCTGGCCACCTGATCTGAACTTAACGTTTCATGAGTGCTAAAGTAGGGTCTCTACCGGTTTCTCGGCTTATGTCTGTTGAGGTAACGGGAGAATTGTTAAGATGCCGGATCAGATTCATGAGTTCCTCTGAGGCAAATTCTTCCGAACATACTTCCGGTAAAGGAAGACGGCTGAGGGCATCAGCAGTGGTATTTTACCGGCCAGGGCTTATTATATAAATAAATAAACGGTGTATTTCTCAGCGATGCGAGGTGCGGTCCAACTATGTGGTCTGATCAATGTATGTATATATAGAGAGAATCAAGGTCCAACGGACCTTTCTGGATGAGGACATTTGGTGAATCACCGTTTCATGATAAAAAGTGACACAAGAGGTTTGCGATCTGTGTAAATCACAAGAGGTCGACCGAGTAGGTGTTGGTGAAAACGAATAGTACCGAAAACAACCGCGGCTACCTCTCGATCAAGCTGAGAGTAATTACCTTCTGCGATCGTCAAGGTTCGTGAAGCATAAGCAACAGGTCAATGAGAGCCGTCCGGCAGTTTGTGCATCGCATGAAACAACAATGAGCTTTCGTTGGTCGTAATGCACAAGAACTTCGGCAGATGTCAAAAGTTTCTTACTAGCGTTAAAACCACCTACCTGAACTCTGCCCCAATTCCAAACTTGGTTTTTGCGTGAGTTGATGAAATGTGTGCAGATGGGTTGTCGCTGACGGTATAAATCAGGGAAGCTGCGTCACTGCTCCCAGAAATGATCGCAACTCGTTCATATTTTTGGGTGCCGACACATTAAGTAGTACTCTAGCTTTCTCTTTCGATGGACGTAGCCCATCTCATAACAACCAATATCCAAGGTAACGTACACTTAGAATAGAGCATTTACACTTTTCCTTTCCTAAACGAGCTCAGAATCTGACAATATTCGTAGAACGACATCCAAGATGTGAAGGTGTTCATTAGTGGTGCGTCCAGTTATCCATATAGCATTTCAGTAAGTGCATGTATTTGGTCTGTCTCACCAACGAGACAATAACACGTTGGAAAATAGCTGGCGCAGAGCTTACTGCAAAGGGCATGTGTATGTAACCAAATACCCAAGGTGTGTGTTGATGATAGTGTAGGCACGTGAGTCATCGTCGAGTTCGATCTGCTGGTAAACGTGACAGGTCTAGTTCGCCACATTAGAGGGAAGCATGGATATCTTCAATCTTGGGTAGTGTGTATCGGTCC